ATAACAACAGCAGCAGCAACACCGACACCACCAACAACATCAGCGGCAACAACAACAACAACAACAACAAATCTCGAGGGCCTGGCGCAGAAGCGGGACACCTGTCACGGCTGAAGAAACGCCCCAGCACTGGCGGGGACCTCTATTGTGTTCATGCGTGGCGCCAGTGAAATGCGGCGTCGACACCGAATGCGTTTGGATAGGTGCCGCGCTGGCTGAATTAGATAGGGCGGTCCCGCCTGACAGCCAGACAAGTTTTGCCTCGAGACTAGAGAGATGCCTGAGTCTGCAGATCCGCCTCCTCCTCCTCCTCCTCCTCCTCCTCCTCCCTCCTCCTCCTCCTCCCTCCTCCTCCTCCTCCTCCTCCTCCTCCTCCTCCTCCTCCTCCTCCTCCTCCTCCTGCTGCAGCCCAGGTGGGTTTGGGGCGGGTTCAGGTCAGGTCGGTTCAGGGCGGGTGTAGGTCGGTTTCGGGCGATCCGCAGTGCGGTTTATAGGTAGGCTTGGGGCGGGTTCAGGTCGGTTTAGGGTGATCTGGGCGCGGCTATAGATACATTTTAGGGCGGTCCAGGGTGTGATTTGGATAGGTTTGGACAGGTCCGGGGGTGCAGTTTTTTAGGAAGGTTTAGGGTGGTCCGCGTTGCGATTCAGCAGTTTTAAGGCGGTGCCTGGTACGGTTAAGATCGGTCTAGGACGGGTTTAGGTAGGTTTAGGGTGGTCTGGGTGTGGTTCAGTTGGGTTTACGGCGGTTTAGATACGTTGATGGCAGGTTTCGGCAGATTTCGAGCAATGTGGCTAGGTCTGGGGTTGCTTAGAAAAGTTGGGGGAGGGTTCAACTAGACTTTTAAGCTGGATCAGATAGGGTTTAGGGAGGCATAGGTCATATTGGGCCTGAATTGCGTAAGTTTGAGGATCTTTAAACTCGATTTGTGGCCTTCAAGCTGGCTTAGGTAATGTGTGAAACTGTTGAGAAAAGGTGTTGAACTCTTTTCGGTGGGCGCTGGGCTGGCTTAAATAGTTTTCGGACTGGTTGATATAGGTTTCAGGCACGGTCAAATGGATTCTAAGCTGATTCAAATACGTATGGTGCTGGCTGGAGCCAATAAATTGATCAATCGGACTGATGGTGATACGAGAATCGTATGGCCAGGAGGGTTCAGAAGGTTATTAGTTTTTGCGCCCGAGTTATCCGGGGTAACTCGGGTCCGGGGTAACTCGGGTTTGGATTCCCGAAAAAGGAACCCGAGTTAGCCCTGACCCGAATTACCCCGGCCCCTGATTTTTTTTTTTTCCTGCGCGCCGAGCGGCCCTGGGCCCCAGCGGCGGCCGTGCCGCGCGCCGCCAGGTCCACCGCTCCTCGTCGCCCGCAGGACGCAGCTCGAGGCGAGGCTACTCGTCCGCGTCCTCGGACTCGTCGTCGGACTCCTCCTCGAGGCCCATGCGCCGCATCCGCTGCTCCCGTTTCTTCCTCAATTTCTTGTCCCTCGTCCTCTCTTTTCCGTCTGGTCTTATTTCGGCTTTCTTCTTGCCGATAAGAATCCTCTTCACGCGCTCTACACTCATGTCACCTCTAGCCTTTGCAGCCTTTATCGCTTTCTTAGCCATCGCCTTCTCGCGCTTGAGTTTGTCCTTCGCCTTCCCTATTCTGCGGACCACACCCTTCCGCTTGGAGCTCGCCGGCGCCATCTCCACGTCGCCGCCCGCATCCTTGCCGCCCTTCGGGGCCGCGGCCGAGGCGCCAACGGCAGCCTCTCCCTTGACGAGGCCCAGCTTCTTGAGCAGCTCCTCCTTCTGCTCTCGCCGGGATTCGGCTCTTCTCTCCAGCCGCTCCTTCAGCTTCTTCTCTCGGGCCTTCTCGTCCTCCACGATCTTCAGGTTGTAATTCTTGATGCGGTCCGTCCTCTTCTTGGGCATGAGGCGCCGATGGGATGCCGGGAAGCGGGATCGGCCGGATGGCCAGAAAGCAGCCCCCGGTCTTCGACCCACTGCGGCTTGAGCCAACTGGCTTGAGCCAAAATGGCTACGGAAATTACCCCGGCCCCTGATGATGTGGGGCTCTGGACGCCCGAATTATCCGGGGTAACTCGGGTCCAGGGTAACTCGGGTTCGGATTCCCGAAAAAGGAACCCGAGTTAACCCTGACCCGAGTTACCCCTGATGATTCGGGGCTCTGATTAGTGGCATGGGCGTTGCTGTAGTTTTGGAGGTCATTCGGGTTTTGCACAATGCGAGTGCTGACGCAAATTATGAAAGTCAGGAAGGACGTGAAAGCCGAGGCCATCATTCGTGCAATGATGATTCGGGCGGCTGTGAACGTCACAGGTTGTGAGGATCCGGTAGGCATGGCCATCGGGGGTCATCCGGGTTGCGGCAAATGACGCCGGAGGTCGCGATGGTGATGATGTTATGACGGCCACGGAGGCTCTAGAGAGACGGAACAATGAGGATATGATGGCGTGCCAAGTTGCATAGATTATGAGGGCTTGGGAATTTGAGGGATATGAGACTTATGGGCACGGAAGCCGAAGATGCTACGAGGGATTCGACGGGTACGTAAGGTTATAACCTGAAATGAGCTCTGGCGAAATGAACGTTTAGAACCATGACGGGGCTACATGCTGGCATGACGATGATTGAGACTTGGAGGGTTGTAAAGGTTGGAGCGCGCACGCGGGCCAAATACCCCCCCCGACTGCCCCTGGCCGCGGCTGGAATAATTGCACGGGGAACCCGCCCGAAATGTGCGTCCTCTGCTTTGACAATGCGAAAAGTACGCGCGTCGCTCAAGATGCCTTTACATACTTGGCGCCATAGTTTAGCCCAGCCTACAAAACCAAAGGCGACTGCGGGCAGCGCAGTCCGAAAAAGGCATCACCCAAAAAACAAAACCAATAAACCGATCAACAAAAATCACGCATCTCACCTACCCGCAACCCCGCGCTGATTTGTTTTTCGCCCGCCCTCGCAGCCCTATTTCTTGGTTCGGCTGGTGCTCTGCCCAAATGGTGTTGCGGGAAGTGTTGGACCGTCCCAGGACACCCACCTGGCAATGCGTCTGCCATGTTGCCCTTCGTCTCGCACGAGGGCACCAGCCGAACTCCTGGTGTCCGGCTGCCGTGGCGATTTTCTTCGGATCGGTGAGAATCCCTTCCACGCATGTACACCCAGACCCCCAGCCAGTTCCAGCCCAACCAAGCCCTTGATCTCTGTCTGAAGGCCAACTGTTCGTCGACAGTCGTCTCCTGACGGCTCCCCGTGGCCATCGGGGGCGGCCAAAAAGGGGGCGTCCAAGGAGGGGGGGGGGCGCAAATCATGATCGGCGGCACGTGCGCGGCCCAAGGGGTCCCGGGGACGTTTTGAAATAAGGAGAGGCGCGATGAAACGTGGGAAGTATCATGGCCCCCGCCAAGATACCCACCAACCCCTAGGCCCTAGTCATCACCCCCCTCTCGGCCGCCGCTACTGCCCCCAGGACCCTCCCCTGAGAACCCTCCCCGGACACCCCCTGGGACCGCTCCAGGCACCCCCCCAGAGGAGAAGAAAGAGGACCAAAAGAATCGAGGAGGGAGGAGGCCACAGAGCCGCGAAGATCACCCCCCCGGATCGGCGGCACTGGCCGGAGGCCATTACAATATCATGGCCCCCGCCCCCAGGCCCTGGTCATCACCCCTAGTCCCTATAGTCATCACCCCCCCGGGCCCTGGTCATCACCCCCCTCTCGGCTGCCCCCGAGGCCAGGGAGGGGCCTCCGCAGGCCGGAGCCCGCGGACGCCTGCCCTGCCGCGCTGTGGCTCGCCATCTGCGAAGGGGCCCCAGGGACACACAGACAAAAACACACACGCACACGAATGCCGGGGCTCCCCATACGCTCCCATAGTTTCTGGGCTTTCGTCTCCCCTCCCCCTTCCCATTCGATGGGATGTTCCTGGGAGTCGACGACGAATTGCGTCTGTGTGGTTCGTTCCCTCAGGATCTCCGAAGGGAGGCTCCGGCGGCGCGGGCAGGGCAGCGCAGACATGCAGGCCGCCGTGGGCGCGCATCGGCGCGGATCCCCCGCGTGACGACCTGCCAGACCTTAGTGGGCCCTGGAAACGACAGGGCCGTTTTTGTTACCGGTTCCGTTGTGCCGTTTTTTGGCCGGTTCCGTCGCCGTTTTTTTACCAGTTCGGGCCCGGTTGCAATCCTGGAGCCGTTTCTGTTGCCGTTTCCGGTCGCCGTGTTTTTGCCGTTTCCATTTTCAAGGGACATTTTTTCGGAAACGGTGAAAAAACGGCCCTGCCGTTTCCGGGGCCCACAACGTGCCAGACCACCCCAGCCTGACCCGAAGGCCCACATCTAGGATTAGCAGGGAAGTGTGGGTTCCACTTGAGCGACGATGAGAAAACTAGGTCCCACGCGAGATGACACAGCGACCCTACTAGGGGGCAAACAAACCTACCTCGCTTTTGACCACCCTCGCTTCCAAGAGACACCAAGCGGTGCCAAATTACGGCCTGAACTGGTCAGGCCGCTTGACGAGGAGGCGCGTGGTACGACTTGGTTTTGCCTGGAAGCGAAAACGGGGTAGGTAATTCACGCTCTGACTTACGCCGGGGGCATGCGCGGGTCGCCAGCGCGGCGCGCCACTGTGGAGACGCGGGCGCTCCCGCGCGACCATACGCGAGCAGCTTGCGCGCCAATGTCGGCGCAGACGACCACGTTCTTCTGCGTAGCTCACATGCGTTGTTTCAATGTTCCCCCGCCCCCCCCCCATTGGGACTAGGTCAGGCATGTCCCCATACAGGGGGATTTGGGACGAAACAGT